ATTAAACTTACCTTTAGAATAATCCTTTCTCAAACTAGGAACACTAGTAGTGTTACTTTAAATAAAAATGAACTTGAGACTATTTGAGGTAGCTCAGTTACAGAGAGGCAATTCAAGTATTTCCCTTATAAAAATCTCCCAGGTCTAGGAATTGTTTCTTTTACACCAAGATTTTTTGAGGTAACTCCTTTTTATTGTTTGTTGTTAACTTTAATAAAGATAAAGGTCATTTAAGAGTAAGTTTTTAAGGACTCCCAAAGTGAGACTTAAAATAGCCATTTTGGGGGATTATTGATTGTATATATCAGTTTATAGTGTGTGCTAAATTACTATGCCATGTGCTATTTTAGTGCTTTGGGAAAATGAAAAAAATCTGTTCTTTAGCATAATAAATGTGTCTTATTTAAAAAAAAAAACTATTCAAGAAGATAGTGACGTCACTCTACTGTGAATTTCTAAAGCTTGCCACACTGCAAAGCTGAGCACACCCACCCCACACCCCGCATAAAGTGAGACCCAGCCCAGAGCCCACAAGGGAAGACCTATTCTCTGGTAAGGCAGCCATGGCCCTACTTCCCTTATTAAATCTTTCAGGGCCTTTCTTTTTAGACGGTGATAATGTTGTAACAAATCCAGCCACAATTCTACTGCAGCAACAATACCAAGGAAAATTGCACCTCTAACTAGGAAGTCATTCATCCCTGGATCCCGGAGCTTCCAACCCAGAGAAGAGCTCCCCAGTCCCAGCTCCTATTGCTGCCATGTTTATACCATAACTACTCAAAAGATACCATTTTATACCCATTTTAGAGATTTACAAACTTAAGAACAAAGTGCTTTAATAATTTGCCTGTAGTCATACTCTAAGTGGGAGCACCAGGGTTGGAACCCAGGCAGCCTCTCTTCTAAAATTGTGCTCCTATCATTGCACTACCTCTGTGAATAAGTTATATTAAATGGTTGCCGAAGTATGTTCTTAAGCCACAGAATTACAAAATGCTTTGGGGGAATTCATAGTGCGTGCTTGCAGTACTGACTGAAAGTTCACAAAGATTTCAAGTGTTTTGTGGGTCTTCGTCTGTTTTTTTAGAATGTTAATGTTCCCCTTGTCCCACATCTATCATATTGTCCAGCTCTCTATCAATGACATCAAAAAAGCCTTTTAGCATGCTCAGTCAAACCTCATTACAAAGGCATTGCTGAAGTCCTAGTGCTGACACTGCTCCACTTTGCCAAGTACATGATTTCCCAGACAGAGCTCCATATATGTGCGCTACTCTGATTATTTACAAAATGAGTGTCTGATATGGACTCTGCATAATAGCGGGATGGAGCCACAACAAAAAACCAAACTTTGTCTCTAAAGAGCTTATGGACTAGTAGAGAATACCAGGGAAAAGACAGTCATCCCGGATCCTCCTAGAAGAGATAACATCTAATCTGAAATCCAAAGGATAAGAAGAGGAGTCATTTTTTCTGAGGGTGAAGTCCACATGACAGCTATTATCATGAGAAAAGGTTCAGGTTCTGACCTGTTGCTGGTTTGGTGCCCCCATCTATACTTAGGCCAGAATACTTTCTAAAATGTAAATATGACCATATCCCTACCTTGTTAACCTTACTATGTGACATTTTATAGACTACAGGAAAATAGTTACACTCCTTTGGATGACGTCCCAAGCATGACAGGATGTATCTGATGCTTAATGTATGGATGCTTTTCCCCGTACTGCTTGGATTACAGTAACACTGAGTTCTTTGAATTTCTCTAATGTGAGACACTCTTTCTTAAATCTGTTATTTTTTATAACATGATTACTTTGCCTGTGGGAATATAAATAAATAAAATCACTTTGAAATAGCTTGACATTGCCCAGGAAAATTGAAGATGCACACATTTTACAACCCAGAATTTCCACTTATAGATAGGAATTGCCAGGAAAGATAATCTCTCGAATATTTACATTAGGAGACATGTTCATAGGAGTAAAACACAGAAAACATTCCAAATATCCACCAGTAGAAAAGTGAATAAATATATTTTATGTGCCAGTTATGCAACTTTTGGTTCTTCCACTCCAAAGTCACTCTTTGACTGTCTGCTTTTCATAAAGGGATCTGGGCCCTTTATATATTTTTCCTTTCCCAAGTGGTTTGATGTTAAACTTTGTGAGTAGAAGGCATTGGAGAGACATTTCAAAAAGGGGATTTTTTTCTCGCTTTCCATTGGCTCACTTGGCAGGCTCTGCACTGCAAATGACTTCTCCAGCATGGCCCCTACTGCGTACATGGCTGCACCAGTGCCCAGATCTTGCATTGCAGGCTGCTGCTATAGTACCTGGTTCCTGCAGTACATGGTGGTCAGCAGAACCCAGCACCCAAGAGCTTCGCCTGACACTGCCCTTGGTTCTCTGTCTTGATGGATCCTGACTGATAAGTATTACATTCAGACAAGTGAATGCTCTATATTAAGGATATCTGCTGAACACTGGCCACAAAGGCTAATGAAATAGTCAAGTATCAGAAAAATACACGTAGTATGATTTTATTTATAAAAAGTTCAAAAACCACAGAAAGCCAAAACATGTAAAGATACAGTAATGTGTGCTTAAAGTATAAAGAAAAAGAGTAAAGATAAACCTGAAATTTAAGAAAACGATAACCTCTGGCAGAAAAGGCACAATTGATCAGCACTACGTGGGGGATCCAAACATAATGGAAATGTTTCTTTCTTAATCTGATTATTGGGTTTACAAATATTCATTTCTATTATTTTTAACCGTACACATATGTTACATGTAACCTTATATATAAATAAAATGTTTCTTAATTTAAAAATAATAATCTCTTATGGTAAAAAATGACTACATTTACCAGGAATGTGATTAGATCAGAGTTTCCTAATTAATGTGCTAAGATAAGGTTCTTGTCAGCTTGGGGTGGCCAGGCAGGGCCTGAGGAGGCCTCTGGCTTGGAGCAGCCTTGTGCATTTTCCTCAGTGTGCTCTATAATAAACATGATTTTCTATGTGTGCAATCACATGAATAGAATTGGAAGTGCTGTAGTAGACTTGATATCCTAATAATTAATGCAAGGTAAGAGTTTTACTATGTTACTCTGCTCTCTTTAATTTTAATACTTAGTTCAATTTCAACTTCAGAATAACCTATAATTAGGGCCGGCCCGGTGGCGCACTGGGTAGTGCGCCGCTTGGGAAGCGCGGTGGCGCTCCCGCCCGAGGGTTCGNTTGATGTTAAACTTTGTGAGTAGAAGGCATTGGAGAGACATTTCAAAAAGGGGATTTTTTTTTTTCTCGCTTTCCATTGGCTCACTTGGCAGGCTCTGCACTGCAAATGACTTCTCCAGCATGGCCCCTACTGCGTACATGGCTGCACCAGTGCCCAGATCTTGCATTGCAGGCTGCTGCTATAGTACCTGGTTCCTGCAGTTCATGGTGGTCAGCAGAACCCAGCAGCCAAGAGCTTCTCCTGACACTGCCCTTGGGAAGATTTGTGGTGGAATGCCTCTGGCAAGACGTTTCCTCATAAATAGCTTTCCACAGTGATCTAGAAGGCAAGTTTCTGGGGAGTTCTGGAATGAGAATTTGCAGCAAGATCTGTAGTGAAGCACCACAGTGGCTTCTCTACTACTGAGTGTGGCCCATGGAGTGGAAGGAACTCTTCATTGGCTGCTCCAAATCAGCCCTAAGGATAGTGGCTACTCCTTTTCTCTGTTACGGTACAGCAGTCCTTTTCTCTGTTACTCGTTTTTTATTTAGAGTTCTCCTTACCTTTTGCTATAAAATAGTTCACTGCTCCAACGCTGTTATAATTAATCATTCTTTATATAAACTTGCCCTGTTGACCTTACTGTGTAGTTTCTCTGTCTTGATGGATCCTGACTGATAAGTATTACATTCAGACAAGTGAATGCTCTATATTAAGGATATCTGCTGAACACTGGCCACAAAGGCTAATGAAATAGTCAAGTATCAGAAAAATACACGTAGTATGATTTTATTTATAAAAAGTTCAAAAACCACAGAAAGCCAAAACATGTAAAGATACAGTAATGTGTGCTTAAAGTATAAAGAAAAAGAGTAAAGATAAACCTGAAATTTAAGAAAACGATAACCTCTGGCAGAAAAGGCACAATTGATCAGCACTACGTGGGGGATCCAAACATAATGGAAATGTTTCTTTCTTAATCTGATTATTGGGTTTACAAATATTCATTTCTATTATTTTTAACCGTACACATATGTTACATGTAACCTTATATATAAATAAAATGTTTCTTAATTTAAAAATAATAATCTCTTATGGTAAAAAATGACTACATTTACCAGGAATGTGATTAGATCAGAGTTTCCTAATTAATGTGCTAAGATAAGGTTCTTGTCAGCTTGGGGTGGCCAGGCAGGGCCTGAGGAGGCCTCTGGCTTGGAGCAGCCTTGTGCATTTTCCTCAGTGTGCTCTATAATAAACATGATTTTCTATGTGTGCAATCACATGAATAGAATTGGAAGTGCTGTAGTAGACTTGATATCCTAATAATTAATGCAAGGTAAGAGTTTTACTATGTTACTCTGCTCTCTTTAATTTTAATACTTAGTTCAATTTCAACTTCAGAATAACCTATAATTAGGGCCGGCCCGGTGGCGCACTGGGTAGTGCGCCGCTTGGGAAGCGCGGTGGCGCTCCCGCCCGAGGGTTCGGATCCCACATATGGACCGGCTCCCGCTCACTGGCTGAGCGAGGCGCGGGAGCAACGCCGAGGGTTGCGATCCCGTTGCCGGTCCCTGGTCCGGTCGGGGGCAACACTGAGGGTTGCGATCCGTTGCCGGACACGGAAAAAGACAAAAAAAAAAAAAAAAAAAAAAAAAAAACCTATAATTATAGAATAAAAAGTCTCCTTTTTTATCTACGGAGAGAAGAAAAAAGAATGGGCAAACAGATGTGCACACACACGAGGGTACTTCAAAAAGTTCATGGAAAGATTTGTATTCTCTTTTAATTCAATTTTTCCATAACTTTTTTGAAGTACCCTCATCTGTGTTTGTTTGTGTGTATATCCTTCAACTTTTTCAGTTCATCGATATTACCCGCCATGATTCTTTCTGAGTGATATACCATACAAATTCAACATGGGTTCTGTAAAGAACCCTTTTAGGCTACTTCTCTCAAAGTTCCTGCTGCAGCCTGTACTGTAAAGGATGCAATAGAAATCTGTCTCTTCACTTCGCCCCAGGCTTTGGAAGGGTCCACTTTGCTTTCAATATCAAACAGAGCATCATAAATTCCTGGGAAGGATTCCCCTGCATACTTGTTGTGGCTGCTTGGAGCATAGATGATATGCCTGTTGACAAAACAGTTTGCAGTCTATTAGTAGTCCAAATGACACACAAGAGACAAAGAGGACTCTATGATTCCTGGATTGCATATTTCTAGTTTTATGATTTGAATAAGCCACTTGTCAACCAAACTTCCAAGTTCAATCATCTCCAAAGACTAATCTACGAAATTTGTGTTAATTAATTTTGACATTAAATAGATAATTTAAAGTGGCTCAGAGCTACAACAACAATAGCAACAGCTGCTGATTACCTATTATGGACCATGCCTCGTATTCATGAATTTACCTACAATTTTTCTAATCCTTACAAATAAACTCTATACAGTTGATATTAGTATTTCAGAGGAGGAAACTGTGGTCTGAGAAATTAAGTGATTAAACGATTTGTCTCAAGGCACACTGCAAATAAGTGCTGATTTGCTGCTATACCACAGTAGCCTCTGAGTTATACCCACTACTGTGATGATTAAAGTCCTGTTTGTTTTCATCCCACTTACTACTGTATTTTTTTCTTCTCTTTAAAAAAGCCACAATAGGCTGCTAGAATGCTTAGCTCAAAGCATGAAGAATAATTACAATTTTGTGATGTTCCACATGACCTAGTCAAGAAAACTGTTTTATTGAAGAGTCTAAGGCAGTTCATGCAATAGCCCTAGAAGAGAAGGACTAACTCCAAAGTAAAGGGGTGAAGAAGTAAATAAGCACATTCATGCTTCCATTGGCAAACCAGCCACCCTGTTTGGACGTCCTTGCTCCCAAACCCTTTGAGAATCCCTAGACTGAAACATGAGGCCATTTCCAGCTGTCTAATTATCAATTCATTCTGCAATACTTATTAAGAATAGCCTGGGAACAGTTGATGTTTATCAGAAATAATACAATTATCACAATTTAGGGGGAAAGAAAACCTAGATGTCAACATTAGGGGAGTGAGTAAATAAATATCTATTTATTATATATTATACATTTTTATATAGATTTATTAAGTGTGATGTGAATACATAAACACAAGTATATTTAACATAGGAAAGATTAAAATTATATACACCAAAATATAAACAAGATTTTATATTTGGCTGATGGAAATGAGGAGATTTTTATTTTATTCCTGTGACTTTCTGGATCTTTTACATTCCCTAAAATGAACATATTTGTCTTTTATAAGAAGAAATGGAAAAAAGATAGTAAAAAAGAAAGATTCAAGAATCTACATGAAGAAACCATATATTTTTTACTTAGTGCATATATTTTGAAATTTTCTATTTGCTTGCAAGAAATCAACTATGAAATTTTTCTACAGTGCAAAAAATAAGAAAAAGTGATGTTAGAGCAAAGAGACATACTATTTTTCTTACCTATAGAAAGGCCTGCCTGGTAATCCTAAAGGATCAATAAATGCTCGTTCCAGAAACATCAGTTGATCATTCATAATTCTCAATAATATTGGGCTAAAGAAGGAAATAAATATAGTTATAACTTCGCGAAATGTATGTACTACTCAGCAAACTAAAAATTTAAAGCAAAACTAAAATATTTTTAATTACCATAATATGCTAATTAAATAACAATCATAATTACCATATTTAAAAAAATCCTATAAAATACTATTCTGCTATTTCGCTTGCTTCATATTTTATAGGTATCATATTATATTGTCTTTATAATCATCAATTTTAGGGTTACAATGTGTTGAAATTGGTGAATATTTAATCTAGCAAATTCTTTCCTCCTAGGCATTGTTTTGAATTACTTGCTGTTACAATTTTATAATTCATATTTTTCTCTGAGCAGTCTTTTCCCCTCCAAACTTGAGACTCTTTCTTTCAGCAAAAATTCAAGAAATGGAAATACTAGGTCACACTATCAGAACTCTATGATGGCTCTTGAAACTGTTGCAATGTGTATTTATGCCCTCCAGAAAAATGCGAGAAAAATGCAAGAGCCCCTGCTTCAGTATACCGCCTGGAGCAATGAACACAACCAACTTTTAAATTGTTTTTAATTTAATACGAAAGTAATACAATAGTATTTTCATTTGTATTTCATTTTTTGAATTATTAGTGAACTAGAATATTTTGCTATATGTGTCTTCTTTTTGAATTATTTGTCTTGTCCATTAGCGATATTTCCAACTTTGTTCTTTTGGAATTTCTTACAAAATAAGTTTCCAGCTCTTTTCTCTTTGCTTTTTAGTATTAATTTTCATATTCTGAACCATTTTAATCTTTGCAAATCTAATGGCATCATTTTCCATTGCTTTTTAATTTGGCATCTTTCTTTCAAGAAATTTCCACTTTTAATAAATAACTCTTCTACACTTGTTTATGTTTGTATAAAATGTGGAGAGTCTGAATTTACTTCTTTTATTAATTTCTAACAGAGATTATATAATATTATTTATGAATAATTCTTTCCCCATTGATTTCTACTATATCTTTCATTACAAATACTTTCTTAAATATCACTGACCCTTTGTCTAAAGCATCTATTCTTATTTTTCCATGTATTCTTGCATCAGTACCCTAGGATCTGATATTTCTATCATGATATTATGTTTAATACACAGTAGATGTTCATCCTCATAATTCTACTTTAAAAAAATTTTCCTTAGTGTTCTTACATTTTTTTCTTCCATCTTTATATTTGGCTCAAAATATATTTTATGTTTGTGATTTTATATAGAATTAATCCTAAATGATTAACATTTCCAAAAATAATGGCTTCACAGTATTTAACATTCTTTATAAATAGAATTTTGCCAGCTGAAAGTGGAAATGAGGAATTCTATGTGGAGATAATGACTTTAAGAAAAGGTAGTGGGAAATTATGCTCTGAAAATAAGGCAATTTGCTGAAGTATGATGTATTGATGGTGAAGGAACAAGAGATAAAACTGGAGAAAGCTGGGGTCACACAGTGGAGAATCATCGATACTAAGGTGGGCATGTTGTAACAAATCAGTTGGCATTGAGGAGGCATTGCATTTCTGAGTGGCACAGTTCTCATTCAGAATGTCGGAAGTAAGTCTTTGAGAGATATGGCAGACCTGTACAGGATTTGTTAGAGTGGAGACACAGAAAACAGCAAAAAATTGCCACAAATATTTCAGCAACAAAGAATGTCAATTAGTATTTCCTTTCAAGCATATCTATTATATACACAACTTATAAATGTAGAACATACTTGGTTTTCTCGAAGTCTTGTAGTCTCTCACTGAACTGAGAAGCAATTTCTGTAAAATTCTTTACTGCAGAAAAAAGTGAATCTAAAATAGAAATTGTGGTCATGAAAAGCTTAAGAACATTTCTAATGGAATTGTTCTACAGTTCAGGAACAGGGAACAATACAGAAAGCCATGTTCTTTTGTGTTTTACAAGGTATCTGTACTTTGTGTATCATAAGATGTGGGAATTTATGAAATGAAAAAAAATATTTATAGACAAAATATTTGATTATATGGAATAGCAATAAATAATAAATGAGCTAAAAACAAGGTAGGTCATTACACTTCAGAGATCAACAGAAACATATAGTTAATGAAGTTGAAAGAGAAAGTGTAACATACCAAATGATACACCATATGTTTTCATTTCTTGTGGATGTTTCATTGAAATATTGTAGATTTTGTCAGCATACTTTCTTAAAACTACAGCATAATCTCGACAGTCAAAAGGGAGCACTACAGAATTGGCTAGTTCAAACACCATCCCTCCTCGAACCTGGGCCACAGTAAGGTGATATTTAAATGTTGGGTCATAGAACTTTTCCACCAATTCATACGTTTCATAGACACTGTGATACAGTGGATAGCTGCTGAATTTGTTTGTTTCCTACAAAAAAATAATAAAATACATCTCTTGTAAGATAGTTTATAAGAAAATGCCTAGCACCATGTTTACTATTAATATCAGTAAGAATGTTTGGTCAATGGTGATTAAAGGAAAGTACTTAAGCACCTACTTAGTAAGCTACTTACTAAAAGACTAATATTATAGTATTTAAACACACTTTAGGTTTGTGCCAATTAAACTATATGTGTATATGATGTAAATAATATTATAAAAACTTTTTTTTAAGATACCTAAGAGGCTTGCCTTTAAAAATATAGATATGGAAATGTTTTTAAAACTCTGAATAAAAGACAGGACATTATTGCATTTGAGTAAAAATAATTTAAGAAGACAGACAGAGAACTTTTAGAGGCAAGTAAATAAGCATTATACAATATTATATAGGGGAGTACAATAAATTGTTTAATCACTGAAATTCGATGGATAAACGATTCTCTGACAGGCAGTGTGCTGAAGAGTGGAGTCTGAGAGGTGAGGGGTTCAGCAGTAGATCTGAAATCTCACTAAGGACAGAGAAGGGATACTAAGACAGGTGCGAGGAAAGCCAAGAACATACAAAAAGACAAGGAGAGGACTTTTCAAACTGTGAATTGCTGATTTATGTCTTTGACCATTTTTAAGATGCTCATTTTTTTGTTATCGATATAAAAGAAAACTTTATATAACAGTGTGTTGAAGAGACTGGAACTCTGGAATTATCTTTACAGGGTTTGAATCTGATCTTCAAGACTTATTACCAAAAACTTTAGGTGTTCACTTCACTTTTCTTAGCAGTAGTATTCTCATGAATAAAATATAGATAATATCAATATCTACCCTCACCACCACCACTGTATTAGCCTAACATTCAACCTCCATGGCAGGAGATTAAAGATTTACAGTCTGAGAAGAATAACTTTTTCCCAAAAAAGACCTTTAGATACCTAATGTGGGCTGTAAATCCCCAGCGGTCTTTGTTCTGTTTGGAATTGAGTTCAATCTCTTTCAGCTGTTATAGCATCCCTATTGCAATAGTCTTGAATAAAGTCTTTCTTACCATTATAATAAGTGTCAGAAGATTTTTTTCTTTAACAACACAGAACTGAAAAGTGAAGTTGCAGCATAAGCATGTTATTTATAAAAATAGAGGTAGGTATCTTTTTAAAAAGTTAAGCGAGTTCATTTGATTAACAGAAATTAGTGGTGGGGTGACCATGTAAGTGAGATAATGAACCGCTTTTTTTAATCATAAGCTCTTATGGGATTGACATTTTATAAACTACGTACATATGATACCTGATGAAAGTTAAACTATAAAGGTTATCATTAGCAACAACAAAAGAAATCATGAGTTTTATGTGTTGAGAGTGTATTATGCTACTTGTTATTTAATGATTTGCTGTTTGTTTAATGATGGGAGACACAATAAGATACAAAAATTCAAATATGTTTAGGTCTGTATACTGATTAATTTTGGATGATAATGAGGATAGAGGAAGCACAGACACTTCCTCCATTTCTAACTGAAATGAATGAGTGAATACATTGCCATCAAAAGAAAAAATATGTATATTTAAGGGAGTCCACGGAAGTTCAAGTTGGCAGACATGAGTATTGGTGCCAACTGACCTGTGAATATAGGGCTCAGGATATAGTATGTGGGAACTATACCATGGAGTAGGAGCACCATCGACCTCTGAGACTTCCTTCTGCTCGCAAATTCCTCTATTCCTCTAATGCTTGAGTCTCTTCATTGGAGCCAGAATTGTTTGTTTAATATATATTTATAAATATGGCTGAAAATTTCCCAAGCATGGAGAAATATGACAGCAACCAGATACAGGAAGCTCAGAGGTTGGCAGCCAAATTCACTCCAAGGAGGAAAACTCCTAGACACATCATGATCAAATTATCGAAAACCAAAGACAAAGAAAGCACACTGAAAACAGCAAGAGAAAAGAAACGCATGACGTTCAACATAGCACCAATACTTCCGTCAGTGGATTTCTTTGTAGAAACTGTACAGGCCAGAAAAAAGTGGGATGATATATTCAAAGAGATGAAGGAAAAAGACTCTCAGTCAAGAATTTTGTATTCAGCAAAACTAACCTTCAAATATGAACCAGAAATAAAGTATTTGCCAGAAAAACAAAACCTAAGGGAATTCATCAACACTAGACCTGCCTTACAAGAAATGCTAAAGAGAGTTCCTCAATCTGAAAGAATAAGATATGAAGGAGCAGGAAGAAAACATTTAAGGTACACAGCTTATTAGTAATGTAAATTCACAGACAACCTCCAAATAGTCCAGTGTTGTAAGGGTGGTGAATAAACTGCTTACATCCTTAGTATGAAGACGAAAGGACAAACCTAACAAGAAAATAACATATACACAACTATATAGCACACAGGCAGTATTAAAAGATGTAACTTGAAACAACACAATGTCAAAAAGTGAGGGGGAATGACGCCAAAGCCTGGAGCTGGCTTTGTTTTTTTTTCTTAGATATCAAAATTAAGTTGTTATTAGCCTAAAATAATCTGTTATACCTATAACAAGTTTGTTTGTGAGCTTCATGGTAACCATAACACAAAAACTTAGACATACTGAAAATAAATAGTGAGTAATAAATATATAGTACCAGAGAAAACCACTCAATTAAAGAGGAAGACAGTAAGATCAGGAAAAATAAATCAACAAATCAACCAGAAAAAAAAAGTAACAAAATGGCAGAATAGGTTTACATGTAAATGGATTAAATACACCAATTAAAAGACACAGAGTGGCTCAATGGACTAAAAAACAAGAACACCACCTACAAGAA